TTTTGGAATAATTACGAGGAAAATCCAGAGGAATATATAAACCTTATGGAACCGACGTAACCAAAAAGGATATTCGAAATTATTTTTAATTGTTCTTAAAGGAGGGGGGAGGGAGGCTTTCCACCAGCAAAAAATGTGATTTTTAAGCAAAAAAACCCTAAAAAAAATCTAAAAAATTACCTTTTCGGAGGGGGCTCGGGTCCCCTGGTCTCGTCGGTGCTTTGTGGGGCCAAGGCTGAATACTTGGAGGTTGATATATCAGTTGGATTAAACGTCTAAATACCATAGTGTATTTGTTGGACATACCTACAAATTTAGACTTTACAACCACAACAATTTGCAATTCATCGGCGTTTGTGCACTGAGTTGCAGTAATCACGATCATTTTTCTGCGAAAAATCAAACGCCCACAGACCGTGGTTGGCAGATATAGCCTGGGGTATTATCTCTTAACAAATACAATTTACACGAGATACTTGGAAATTTCTATAGCCTTTTTACGATAGGCCATTTTATTTGAATTTATTGATAGGTGTCAATATAATGAGTATTAGCAAACAATGGAAAATTATTGATCTGTCGAAAATCATGGTAAACGTTGAGAACAACTGTTTTTATACCCTACAACACTAGGTGTTGGGGGTATCATAAGTTTGTTTGGGCTAAAAATTATGTAACACCTCGAAATATTGGTTTCCCACATAGGAAAGTATATATGGATCTTCCCATCTCACCGAGCTGAGTCGATCTAGCTATGTATGTCCTTCCGTCCGTCTGTCCATGTTAATTTGTAATCACTCTACAGGTCGCAATTATGACCCGATCATCACGAAATTGAAAATGGAGGGCGGGATAGGGTCAGAATACAAGCCTATTGTTTTAGGGGTTGAAATGGACAAAAAACAGAAAAATTTCTTGATTTAGCATTTTCTCTACAGGTCGCATTTATAGACCAATCGACGCGGATGTTAGCATGGGGCTAGAGCTTAGGGCTGGGCAGAAGCCTTCTAATTTTTATGGTAATCGAGTAATATTTAGTGGGTGAAATAGACCATAACATTTGTGTTAAATAAAAGTCAAATTTTCCATTAAACCGCGAATATTTTTAATCCCGGCGAAATCACACATAGACGAACAGGTCAATTCTGACCGTTACGTAGATGCGAAAAAATCGCAGAAAAATATGCCAGTAATGGATGTTAATATAGATTTTGTAGTATTTTGTGACATTTTTTTTTATTTTTTCATATTTTTTATCGCATGCGATTTTTTCAATTTGACTTATAAGATTTTTTAATATTTTTTCACCTTACAACACAGGTTGGATTAATTATATAAGGATTGCAAATATCGCCCGATCCTCACGAACAATTTCACAAGGGTAGGGTTGGACTCAGAAGGGCTAGGCCTATTGTTTTCAAAGATGTCTGCAATATATTAGGAGTTGAAAAGGACCAACAATTAAAAATTTTCCTGATTTTGCAACCAAATAGAAACCAGATGACACGAAATCTCGCATTTAGGACAGCGGGTACAATGGACTACAACAACTAACAGCCCGACGGAGTTCATAAATGTTGGGCAAATGTCCCTAGTCAAAATCCTAATTTCAAAAGCGAAATCTTCCAATATGAATTTGGGCATAAGGGGGCTTCTAACATATTGTAGTGTTGTAGGGCATAACATAGTCGGCCTTGCAAGACTATAGCCTTTTCTTACTTGTTTTTTTTGCTCTACAGGTCAGAGTTATAAACCAATCGAAGCAGAATTTAGCATGGAGTTCGAGTTTAGGGCTGGGCAGACCTACCAATATTTTTAATCAAAGAGAAATTACAAATGTATTAAAATACCACTTCTGACCAAGATATCAGATATATAGCAAAATTGGTTCAACCTATAGTTAAAATTACATACATATTATTCCGCACATAAGTCAAGAGCCGCTGGACTGATTTTCACAATTCTCATCAATTCGGAATGGTCTCTTGCCAGAAAAGGATACAATATAAGAAAATCGCGTAGATATGTGACAATAAACAAGTTAAAACGTCAAGAGTTAGCTGACAAATGTATACCCTCAGCCAATGTTCGATTATTTAAATATATTTTGACACTTGTTATGATTATTCAAATTGTCGACCCTCTATAGAGTAGGTTCCGAAAAATAATGGCATGTGTGAAATTTAAATAAATCTGGATGTTTATTTCTGTTATAATTATGGTTTTGGTTATTCAAAATTTAGAGCCTTTGTGGGGGAGGTACCAGAAGGAATAGTTCGATCTTTGCCATTCTTATAACAAATCTTGTGTCAATAGTAATATTAAGATATGCCAAGTCTGAATGGAATCAAATGTTAATTTCGCGTTTTATGAGCTTCATGGATATTCAAAATTTCGATCCTTTGTGGGGGAGTTGGCAGAAGGAGTGAACCGTCCCCATGTATCCCATCTTCACAGCACATCTTGTGTTAGTAGAAATAATGAGATGTGTGAAATATGAAGAGAACCGGATGCTTATTACGGATTTAATAATCGTTTTGGTTATTCGAAATGTTGAACCTTTGTGGTGGAGGTACCAGAAGGAATGGTCCGATCTCAAAATTCGTTATAGCAGATCTTGTGTTGATGGAAATATTGAAATGTGCTACGTCTGAATGAAATGGGAAGTATCCATGTTAGTTTCGTGTTTTATAAGCGTCACGAATATTCAAAAATTTGAATAAAGAATAAATGCCGAATATTATCGCGAAAATATTCTGGAGGGTGTATTAATGCCTTGGGCACACAAACACAATGGCCACCAAATTCTCCGGATACCAATCCGTTGTGTCTGGAGTATTTTGGAAAGCAAGGTTGGCACTAAAAAATACCAAAGTGTCGATCACCCCAAGCAAGCGCTTCGCCAGGAATGGGCCAAAATACCGTAGAGCAACATTCGGGCAGCGTGTGGCGGTTTCATTCGCCATAATTCGTGCCAAAGGTGACCAATTCGAACAAATTTAAAATTATTCTAAAATTTAATGCTATTCCCGACATTTTTTCTTTCATCCACTAAAAATTAAAAAAAGGAAATATTAAAATTATGGCATTTGACTTTGTTGCGGTTTTTTATCTCACTCTGTATATTCATAATCGGCATAAAATTCCAAGTCGATTTAACGATGTCAGTCTGCCTATCTATCCGTCTGCCAATTGAAATCACGATACAGACCAGATTTTTTGAACATTTTTAGCAGAACAATTTGTATTGTGTCTAGGATGGTTGGTATTAAAAATGAGGTATATCGGTCCACGTTTTTGTATATCTCCCATATAACGGTACCTCCCGATATCCGGTGTTTTGATGATTTTTGCCACATTTTTCCACAGATTTGTCTAAAAATTGGTATTTGTAGATCATAATGTGTTCTAGCCCGATGGAGAAACATTGTATGTATAGGTCCGCGGATTCGTACAGCTCCACATAATGGTACCTTCGGAATTTCAGATTTTTTTTTTAATGATTTTTGTCACATTTTTCCACAGATTTGTCTAAAAATTGGTATTTGTAGTTCATATTGGGCTCTAGCTCCGGTGACAGAAAATTTAATATTTAAGTCCAGGTTTTCCTATTGCGTACATATAACGATACCCACTGATATTCAGTATTATGACAATCCGATTTACTCACAAAATTGTTTCAAATTTGGTTTTTAAGAAAATTTGGTAGATGACAATCCTTGAAGTTGTCTATGGAGGTTCCCGTTTTGGTATGGCCCCATACAAAGGCCTCGCTCGATTTGTATGGCCTTTTGAAAAGTTTAACAGCATTATCCAAACTGTCTTACTGGTATTTGTATGTTGCAGTGGAACACGTTTGAATTCATATACTTTTTTATAGATTGTTTTCAGTACAGTGTTGGCTTGTTTGTTCGGGATACCATAGTATTTTGTTGATTCAAAATGGTCAGGCTTAATTCCTTTATTGTTGTTTTTATAAACACAACGTTTGTTTATTAGTGGAGAACGATGGTAATGTTTATCAGGGGGAAACCTAGGTATTTCCTGCCTTTCCCCCTGATAAAAATTACCATCGTTCTCCAATAATAAACAAACGTTGTTTTTATAAAAACAACAATAAAGGGATTAAGCCTGACCATTTTGCAACAACTAATTTTTTTTTTTTTACCCAAACGTGAAAGGTATTAAAATCTCGGCCCGGTCGAACTTAAAACAACCATTTTTCAGAAAAAAATCTCTCTAATTTTTTTGTAAAAAAACAAATATCGAGAAGTGTTAAATTCTGCTGAGTTGTGCTCACTTAGCACAATTGTTCGTCCATCTACACCGAATTTCAACCTATTCTCTTAAAATTCAGTACAACTTTAATATTTTTTTGTCGAAGTTCGATATAGGCCAAAATAAACGTATAATACCCTCTTCAGATAGTGGTGTGGGGTGCAATAATTTGAGTCCATAGCTCTTGTCTTTTCAGCCTATGTATAAAAATTAACTACTCGAATTTAATTAGCAATACCTATCGAATAATTTTATGACTGGAAATCTATTTAACTGTTTGTTGTCCATTGAAATTTTTACGACTGCCGCTAATCAAGATCTGTCTTGACATGATATCAACTGATAATAATTTTCTACTTCTACGCTACTGCCAATTGCAGGCCCTAAAAAATTTGCGATTAAATGCAATGAATTATGTTGAACAAAGCCGATATTTCTTCTTCAAATGCACACATCGAACAATTTCATTCAATAACAACAACATGAGTTAGAAGTTTTATCATTGTTGCTGTTGTTATTGTTGTTGCCTTCTAATCGCTGCGAAAGCTCCGCCGAAACGACTACTATTGACATTCCTATCAAATTTGTTCGGCTGTTTGTTAATTACGGGCAGTGTGTGTAATACAACGAAGCGAAAAAAAAAAAAAAACAATAGAAAAACATGATTATTATTAATAAATCTCAATTTGTTTCATTTCCATTCAAACATTACCCGCCTCAAGATGTGTTGTCGCTGCTGTTCGAAGACTCAGCAAAAAATATGGGTCTTTGGCACTGCAACGGTGTTCCTGGTACTAGGACTTGTGGGCATTATTTGTGGGCCCAGCTTGATTATGGATATGATTTATAAGGTTAGTGTAATAATCAATTTTTTTTTTTAAATTTGAAAATTATTTTTATTTTTTAATTTTAACCAAATTTTCCTTTTAGATGCTACCCCTAAAGGAGGGCGGTCGCACCTATGACAAGTGGGCCAATACCCCAGTACCAATCTACATGGCCATGTATCTTTACAATTGGACCAACACCGAGGATGTAAGAGTGAAGGGTGTCAAACCAAATTTTGAACGTGTCGGACCCTATGTTTTCCGTGAGGAGAGAATCAAACAGAATATCACCTGGTATCCGAATAATACGGTGTCATTTATGCCGCAACGTTTTTGGTATTTTGAGCCCGATATGTCCGGTGGCACATTGGAGGATAAGATTACATGCCCGCATTTGCCAACAATTGTAAGTAAAACTAATTCGAAAATGTTCTAAAAAACCGCAAACATAGAAGAAAGAGAAACATAAAAGGAAAGTTAAAAATGTGAATCGGTTCAATGAAATCGACAAAAATAACAAGTAAAAGTTCGGCCGGGCCAAACTTTTAATACACTCCACCTTAGGATAAAGGAAACATTAGAGCCCATTATGACCCACATATACCAATTTTTAGACATATTCATGGGAAAATGTGCCAAAAATCATCAAAATACCGAATATCGGGAAATACGGCTATATGGGGCTATACACATACAGTGTTTCGCCAAAAGAGCTAGATCCCATTAAGACCAACAAATACCAATTTCCAGCTAAATCCGTATAAATTAGCGAAAAGATGTGGCAAAAACCATCAAAAGACAGACGGACAGACAGACAGACGGATTTTTATTTTTCTTATGCTGATTATGAATATACACTGGTGGCCAAAACTAAAGCAACTGAAATTACAAGGAGAATGAATGCCCTGTAACTTTTTCAAAAATTAAGAAAATGAGAAAGTTTTTCTTGTTTTAAATTAGGTACTTTATTCACTTTTTAAAAACCTAAAACATAAAACCAAAATTCATTTTTATATAAAAAATTATGTTTGGTAAAGTCAATTAACCCGATTTTGGCTTGGACAAAACAAAAGCAACTCTGTTGTACATTCATATAACCGCTGCAATTTCAGTGGTTTTTACTGTGATATTTATCGCTTTTTGCTTCCTTCGACAATTTCGCTTGTCATAAATCCTTTTTGGGAAGTTTTTTACAACAGCATATGTTTTTCTTTTCGTTTTTTAAGTACTGCCAAAAAAAATTTAAAAATGGCTAGAAGCAAATACTGTACCTGAATAAAACAGCAAATTATCAGTGATTATCAAAACAACATATCACAGAAAATGATTTCCGAGAAGTATTTCATAAATATTTATGTGATTTCATAATTATGTCTGTGCACTAAGTCGGTTTTTTGAAACTGGATCAGTAGTAACAGTCCATAACGGATGAAGGCCGTGAAGAACTTCAGCCCATACTGATCCACAAATTGTGAGAGAAATAAAAAAACAACTATTTAAGAGTTCAACAGGATTGGTGAGAGAGCAATCATTGGATATAAGCTCGAGATCAGTGCGTAGACGAGTAGTGGCAGCTGGTCTGCGTGCCCGTAAGACATCAAAAAACCATTTATATCTGAAAAAATCAAAAAGGCTTTCGGAAACGATAATATTAAGTGGAATCAAGCTCAATGGAAAAAACATTATTTATGGTATAAGTCTACGTTTAATATTAAAGGCTCAGACGTGAAAAATTTTACGGTGAGAAGACCAAAAAATGAAGGACTCAAGCCGCAGTGTTGCAAAGGTACAGTGAAGCATGGGGGAGGGTCAAAAATGGCGTGGCGCTATTTTTCTATCTATGGACTTGGGTCTATCCATAAAATAAAGGAAGTTGTGGATCCGTTTGTTTACAAAGATGTGTTGGACATCACGTTGTTCCCTTACGCTGAGTAAAATATTGGGCTGATTTGTGTGTTTCAGCATGACAATGATCCCAAACATGCATCAAAACTTGTCAAAGGTTGGTTGCGGGAGTCAAAAATCACTGTTTTGTCATGGCCGGCACAATCATCTGACCTAAACCCCATAGAAAACCTTTGGAGTATCGTAGACAGGAAGATCAAGCGAGATTCGGAAAGAAATAAGCACAACATTTTCCAAAGAATTCGGGGTGCCTGGGAAAGCATACCCAAGGATCAAATTGAGCGTGTTATAGATTCAATGCCTCGTAGGTGTGCAGCTACTATCAAAAATAATGGTTATGCTATCGACTACTAGCCAAAATTTAATTATTTTAAAATAAAAAATCAAAAGTTGCTTTAGTTTTGACCAAACAAAAATTGGGTCATTTTAGTTTTCCACATATTATTTTTCGTTCAAAATTATTTTTGTATTTTTATTTTTAGTTTCTTAAAAGTGAATTAAACCCCTCATTTAAAACTGGAAAAATAATTACGATTTGTTTATTTTTGTAAAAGTTACAGGACATTTATTGTCTTTGCGATTTAAGTTGCTTTAGTTTTGGCCACCAGTGTATATACTTTATGGGGTCTACGACGAATATTTAAGAATGTTACAAACGGAATGACAAAATAAATATACCCTCCTTTCCAAGGTGGAGGGTATAAAAATAGGCAAATTAAAAAAAAGCAAATTATAAATATAAGGACTGACCATAAAAAGGAAAACGTCATATAAAATCTGAATAAATCTTAAAAAGAATTAAAGAAGGTGTACCTAGAAATGCAAACCGTGCTAACCAAAAAATTAAGTTACATCTATCCTTTAAATAGTTAAACTCTTTTGACAAGTAAAAATTCTAACTCGTCTCGAAAGATTCAAAATCTGCAGTCCAGGTATTGGGAGAAATTTCAGTGTTCTGTGCCTTAAAAAAATATTGAGATCAAATTTGATATTTTTGAAATGTTGCCAATGCAGTTGAAAATTTGGCTTAAATTGAGTTTAGTTTCAGCTATTGAAAATTCTGAAAATTTTACCGACGTTAGCTCTTGTTGTCCTAATCACAACTATATCAATTCTTTCCGAGGTATAAGGTTCCAAAGTTACAAAAATGTCCCTTTTTTATACCCTCAAAATAACGGTTTTAGCACTATGTCTCTTTGGATCAAATCCTTTCAGGACATTTGGAGTCGATCTAGCGATGTACGTCCGTTTATCTGTCTGCCTGTCAGGCTGGCTGGTGCGCAAGATAACTCTCGAAGGGTGTATCGGATTTGGTCCAAACTTGGTACATCGTAATATTTTTGTCAAACATAGATCGAGTTCGAACATGTGTAATGTCGGTCCACTCCTTCTGGTACCTTCCCGACAAAATGTCGAAATTTTCAAAAAAAAAAAAAATATTTTCTGCACAGAAAGAGAAATAATAAGCCAATTTTACTCCAACTTTGAGAATCCTAATATTTGCGTCAGTGCTAGGTCAGGTGTGAAAATATCGGTCCTCTCCATAAGGTACCTCCCCCACAAATGGTCAAAATTTTGAATAATTACAACTCTCATAAAATGTGATGTAAGAGTCCGATTGTTTTCAAATTTCGCACATCCCAATATTTATATTAACCCAGGATCTGGTGTTGAGATGGAATATCTCGGTCCACTCCTTCTGGTACCTTCCCCACAAGTGGTCGATATTTTTTAAAAAAATACATATTTTTTGCACAGGAAGAAAAACGATAATCCGATTTTGCTCCAACTTTGCATATCCTAATATTTGCGTCAGTGCTAGGTCTGGTGCGAAAATTGACAATATCGTTCCACTCCTTCTGGTACCTCCCATTCCTTTAGAACCTACTGTATAAGGGGTTAAACATTTCAATAATCATAAAAGAAGTCAAAATATTTTTAAATAATCGAACATTGGCTGAGGTTATACATCTGTCGGCAAAACCGACCGCTACATTTTACTTGTTACTTTGCTGTTTAATAATCGGAATAAAAACTTCAAAATGTCACTACAGGTAGGTTTTTGTATCCTGATTAGAAAAACAAAACATTGTTGGGGGATGTGGGTCCATACTTCCAGGCTTCATATTTTAAAAAAATGTTCCTTATGTTTTGTCGCTTATTTAAAAAATATTCAATTTAGATGAACTTTGGCTCGCAAAGCCGGACATACCCCAGAGAAGAAAATCACAAGATCTGACCGAAGGTCGGTTATTTAAAAAGGATCTAAAATTAATTTCTTTTGTTCCGAAAATTTTCCAAATTTGAAAATTTTTATTTCAATATTTCTACCACTGCTAGATCTATAGTAAAGATAGAAGTTACGAGACTTTCTACCGCTCTATCAAAAAAGAAAAAAAATGTAGGTTTCAGTGGTGTTTCGGAAGACCTTTACCCTCAAGTAGAAGTATTGAGTTATGGGAAATTAATTTTCTCCAAACGTTATAAACATTTGAGAAGATGGATCAATGCTTCTGATCTCCGATCCCAATTTGGATAAAATATTACGATGTACCAAATGTGGACTAATTTGAATACTTTAAATATCCTAAAAGGTATTTGGTCCAAATACATCTATTGTTTCGATAACGCACATTTCACCGGCGAAATACGTCTAGTTTAAATCTACTTCATTAGCGAAAAATCTACCTTAACATTTCAGATTATTTTCACTAGTTAATGTAAGGCTTTTTTAGTACTCAAAAGCTCAATTTTTTAAGTTTTAAGTTTTTCCTTTTTCGAAAAAAATAAATATTTACCTTCAAAGCAAAAAGTCTTGAAAATCTTTAGTTTTTTGGAAGATATTAGAAAAACCATCGCACAGTGGACCCTCATCCAATTTTTCTGATCAACACTTTGGAATTTTTTAGTACCAACTTTGCTTTTTAAAATTCTCCAGACACAATAGTCCAACGGATGGGTATCCGGAGATTTCGGTGGCCATTGTGCGGCAGTTCACCACTTTCGGCCAAGCGAAGCATTTCTTTAGCTCTTTTGAGTCTATTTTCTTTCTCTTGCAGGTGTAAGTTCTTGCTCTTTTTGGAATTTCAATGGCTTACCCCGAGCTCATTTGTCAATATTTGCTGAATGGAATATTGTTATATGTTCAGCTCACGAGCCATTTTTCCGCCACTGCGACGCGGATTTCAATCAAGTCGCTTCTTTATTTTTCGAACCATTTCTGCTGATGTTGCTGTTTTCTTCCATCCACTTCCTTGACGTCGGGCTACGCTACCAGTGTCAGGGTAACGAGCGATGTTACGAGACACAAAACATTTATTTATATGTAAATGCTGGAGTGCTCTAACGATAGCCACATGTGGTTTTCCAGCCAAATATAAAGAAATCACACTATCACGCTTGAATTCCATCACGAATTACTTTTTTCTGGAAAATTCTCACCAAAAGGGCTTTTGTACGCTTGTCAACAATATAGTGAGCTGTCACTGGAATAAGTTTAAG